TCTTCGTGTAGCGTGGTCCTCAGATTTATTGTCACGTGAACATCTTTTTCTATTTGCATCTAATTGTCGTTGTTCAGCATATTGTTCTACAGTGTGGCTTTGTCTCCAATGTTGTTAACGCTCTTTATTGTGACACCATTTTCTCTCAGCATGACATTTGCATCCCATAGTAAAGCACTGGCAGAGTTTGTGACAACTTCTTGGAAGGTGTTGGGCATTCAATTGTTCTATCACGGTATTGTCACAATAGCTGGGAACTTGGCTCCTGCTTTTCCTCAGATGGTCCCGCTGCTAATAAATTACTATTCACAACTGATTTATTTCTCAGGTGTAGAAAAAGGGTGGAGGGAGTCACTGTACGAATGGCTTAAGGAGGCAGCCGGTAACATGGAAGGGCTGGTCCTTCTTCTTAACTGGCCTCAGCACTAAATAATTTTAAAGCCTAATTGATTTATTTTGTGTGGTGCTGCGGAGGGAGTTGCTGCACCGGAGGCTGTTGTAGCAGGCACGCTGCGCTGTGAGGGCCTGAGGTGGCGGCAGTTACCATGGAGGACCTGCTAATTTTTCTGAGGTGGCCCCAGCACTACTTAATGGCAAAGCATAACAGGCTTGTGCGAAGCAGCTAGTATTCGCTTCGGATTTGGATTCGGCCGATTCGGGGGACAGTGACTTGATTCAGTGATTTGAATCACTGTCCTGAATTGATCTGGCCAAATCTGATTTGTCGATTCGGCCGAATCTCTGAATCAAACAGGCCCTATCATCCGCCCACTCTCCCAGCCCTGTCAATGACTGCCCCACCCTGCCCTAGCATCTCATTTAAAAAAAAAAAAAAAAGCCCCATACTCACTGGCTGCTGTAGTGGCAGTCGGGGCTTCTGTAGGCTCGTGGCAGAGTCCCCCATGCAGCATGGGGCAGTGGGGGGCAGTGGGGATTGCCCCCTGCCTAGTAGGAGCCGGTGAGCGTGGGGCTCCTTTAAAAACAAAAAACCCCCCGGAATGCTGGGGCTGGGTGGGGCAGCCATTGATGGGGCTGGGAGAGCAGTTGGGGGGGGCTCCCGGGGGTTGGGAGAGCAGGCAGGGGATGGGGCCTGGCAGGGGTCCCTCCCCTATGGTCCCCTCCCTCCTCATCCAACCCCGCACCCTGTGGAGGGTCTGTTGTTTTTTTCTGAGGTGGTCCCAGCACTAATTAATGGCCAAGCTGTGAGAGGTGGGGTCTGTGGTCACCCCTTGGATGCAGCAGTGAGGGGGAGGGGGCAAGGCCAGCACTGCTGACCTGGCTCCCTCACTCTGTTCCCGGAGTCCAGGTCTGGGATCTTCAGCTTGTAAAGTGCTTGTGTTTTTTTTACTTTGCATCTGTTGGCAGGGGGAGCGAGGCCAGCGCTGTGATGCCAGCACCCCAGTTTGAGGCCAGGCCCGCTCACCCTCACTGGTTCAGGACCAGGCTGCTTTCCCCCACTGTGCCGCCTCACCCCATCCCAGCTGGCTTTTGTTGAGGTGCAGTCCTAGGTGCCGCTTGCAGGGAGTGGGATGGGGGAGCCGAGGCTAGTGGCACTGGCCTCTGCTCCCCCACCCTCTGTCAGGTCCTCGGTGCTGCTTTGCTGTCATTGTGGCGCGAGACTGCACTTGGAGCACTCTGATTGGCTGTTTCCGTCAGCCAATCAGAGTGTGAATAAAGCATTATGGATGGATAAACAGGTTTTATAATATTAGAATATAAAGAAGAAATAAATAAAGATTTGAAAAATAAATAAAATGTGCATAATTGCATGTGTGTATGTGTGTGTACACACGATGGTGGCGGCGGGGGAATGGGAGGAGTGGGCTTGGAGGTGGTGGGGGAGGAAAGGGCCCAGGCCTGAGGTGGGGAAGAGGCCTTTGGGCTCACTCTTCCTCCCCTCCTATGTTGTCCCAGTCCTCCCCTTCCCCCACTGCTGCTGCTGCAGCGCACCTGCTCCTCCCCCCACCACTGCCACATCAGCCCTGCAGGCAGTGGTGACAGAAGTGGGGAGGGGTCGGCCAAGGCCAGCGCTGGTAGCCTTGGCCCCCCCCCCCTGCGTCCCGACTCTGTTCACTGCACTGCCACTGCCACCATCTCCAAGGAGCAAGTGGGAGGTGGGTAAGTGAGGCCAGCTCCAGTGGCCTTGCCCCCCCATCTCCCCCCCTCTCCATTGTTGCTAGCCGTTCTGTTTCCACTGCCTCCAGGGAGCAGGGCTCTGTCCCCTGTGTCCCTGCCATTATGGTGGCGCGCACACATATAGTTGTGTGCGTGTGTATATATGTTAGGGGTGCACCAATAGAGATTTTGGGTGCTGATACCGATAGTTGATATTTAAGGAGGCATTTTGGCCAATACCGATTCAATATAGCTGCCATCAGTAAGTCTGGTGTGGTGGAAAGGGGTGTGGTGGGGGCAAATCAACACCCCTGCCCCCCCCCCCCCCCCC